GAGTTTGATCTCTCACAACAAATACAACTCATCGAGGGGCAACTAAAAAAGGTTTTTGATATTTTTATCTCTGACATTTTTTCCTCTTACATTGTTACCTCTAACATTATTACCTCTGACAATTTTACCTCTGACATTATTACCACTGACAATTTTAGCTCTGATGTTTATACCTCTGACTTTATGCCCTCTGACATTATGACCTCTGACATTATTACCTCTGACATTATTACCTCTGACATTTTTACCTCTGACATTTTTACCTCTGACATGTTTACCTCTGACATGTTTACCTCTGAAATTTTTACCTCTGACATTTTTACCTCTGCCATTTTTACCTCTGACATTTTTACCTCTGACATTTTTACCTCTGACATTTTTCCCTCTGAAATTTTTACCTCTGACATTTCTACCTCTGCCATTTTTACCTCTGACATTTTTACTTCTGACATTTTTACCTCTGACATTTTTACCTCTGACATTTTTACCTCTGACATTTCTACCTCTTCCATTTTTACCTCTGACATTTTTACCTCTGACATTTTTACCTCTGACAGTTTTACCTCTGACATTTCTACCTCTGCCATTTTTACCTCTGACATTTTTACCTCTGACATTATTACCTCTGACATTTTTTACCTCTGACTTTTTTTACCCGGCAATGAAAGGCATTAGCTGCGTACGTGGGTCTGCCTTTCACCGTCTGGTGACGTAAAATTGAGCAGGTACCTGATTCAAGTCAATTGGATCATGTGATCCAAAAAAGAAACCAGTGGAGAAAAAAACAGAACTAACCCACCAAACAAAAGAATATATATATATCGCTCAGTTGGTCCTGATGGGCATTATGACGCAAATAATATCACGTGAAAACGTGGCCTGGGCCTTCCACTCAACAAGTGGAGACCTTAGTCTGTTCCTAGACAAATAGAAATTACCTGAAATGACGATGGGGAGGGGGAGAAGATTTCAATACATATCAACTGCCATTCATCTGAGTACTATAGTGAATCTAGACGATTCAAAACCTTCTGTTACAAATAGAAACATGTCATTAGATGGGGGGGGGGGGGGTAAGAGTATGAAACAGGCTAGCGATTTCTACTCACTATTTTAATATGTTTACATTTTGATATTCGAGTTTAGTATTTACATAATAGCTTATTTATTATATCTAAATTTAAGGAAATGTATACTATTTAAAGATTAAGAACTTAAACTCAACGATAATTGCCCTACAATGTTTGAGAAAACCGTCGTTCACGAAATTCGAACGATGCAAAAAAAAAGTATCGATGCATTAATGTAGGCCTATAGCTTTACTTTGTCTCAGCTTTGTAATTTTTGTCCCCAGCCATATTAGTTGTGAGTGTGGGTAAATGGACCGCGTGTTGTGGTGCGTGCGTGTGTGTGTTTATTTGCAAGACCTTTGTATGGGATGGTGTTTTGTTTGGGCTTCGGTAGTAAGAGAAAGGGTTATAGTTTGCTTCATTGCAATGACGACCTTCGTCATAGTTCTTCTTATCGAAAATCCCATTCGTTTTGCACGTAGTGCTTGTCATCACTAATTATGCCCTTTTCTCATGTCCGTTTCCTTTCAAATTTCATAGGCATAGTCTCTTATGCTAGGAGTCCACTGAGCCAGCGCCAGTTGGTGCCAGCTCGCGCCAAAGATTATGTGATTGGCGCGTAGTGGCTCGCTGTGGCGCCGAATTAATGTCCGCTCGGCATGTGTCGCCAAGTGGAATAAACTGGGTGCCATATGGCGTGCGCCAAATGCCACCTGGCTTGCTCCAAAATGTTGCGCCAGTTCGCGCCAGTTCGCGCCATTACACGGTCATTCGATTCCAAAATTCACCCTGTTGGCGCCATTCGCGCCAATAGACGCCTACTTTGCGCCACTTGGTGATTAGTTTGTGCCAAAGGTCGCCAAATTGGTTTGAACTTGCCGCCGCTTGGCGCTACTTGCCCAATATATAAATACCGGCCATCGGCTACCTGGTTCAGACCCTCCTCAGCTGTTGTATGAACAACATCTCTAGTAAATATTTACAATTTTGATATGTCTGAGGCTTTTGATAATGTTGGAGTGATGATGCTGCTCCATCAGAAGATGATGAGAGATGGCGGGCAACCAGGTGGCATTTGGCGCGAAGTAGTCACCACTCGGGTGCCGTTTTGCTCGCGCCACTGCACATTTGGCGCGCTTTGGCGGGCTATCCGCCTCTGTTGGATTTATTTGGCGCGTAGTGGCGCAAACAAGGTGGCGAAATCTCATTGGCGCAACTTGGCGCGCGCCATTACATTCCAGTGGATTCCAATAGGCGGATTGTTTGCGCCAAAGGGCGATATGTTCGCGCCATTTGGTGCCACTTGGCGGACACTTGGCGCTGATTGCTCGATGCAAGTGGCGCGACGAAAATTTCAAACATTTTGACATTTTCTTGCCGCCACATTCAAATTTGGTGCCGTTACGGGCCACCACGAGCCAGTTGGGAGGCAGTTTGAGCCACTACACGCCACTAGGCACCTTATTGGCGACACTAGGCGCCACAGTAAATTGCATTGGCGCAAACTGGCACCAACTGGCGCTGGCCCAGTGGACTCCTAGCATAACATCTCATCAAGGTCACTACATTTTTCGATTTTCGAAATCACTCATGCATAAACGTCCAGGCGCCATTTTGTCCGTTTCTGGTCTATTTTAAGGCCTTTCCTTTTTCCTTCCTATCTCCACTATCTTAGATCCTACAAACTTCTAACACATTCCTCTAGATAGTCTAAGAGATGTTCTTTTATCTGCGACGTATCACTTGACCTTCAAAATGCCATCTTTGTACTCAAAATTCAAATCAGAAACCGACTCCGTCAAAAATATCTCAAATTCTTGAAAAATGGACCCCTAAATAATCTATAACAGTTACTGACATAACTTTCTCATATAAATTATGTTTTGTATTTAAATCTCACAGTATCCTTATCTCATAATTGCACATAGCCATGCCAAATTTCACGCTCCAATGGCTTTGCAAAACAGGGGGGTGCAACTCCGCTTCTGCATCCGTCTAGCCATGGGGAGATTTTGGAGGGTCAAAAGTGCACACTGCTTCCATTTATCGTGTATTAGCCTATGAAGACGACAAATTTTTAGTGCACCAGCGAAATAGGGATTTTGGACTGCGCGCAGCGCGCAAAATATTTAAATTTAAATTTTGAATATTCATGAGCTCTTTTCCACTTATTAGCATATTATCGCAATGAAAAAAAGACAATGCGCATGCGTTACTATATCGACAGAATCCTAATTGGGCCGGATAAATGTAGAACAAAGGTCAGAGTTGGGGAGGTGTGTGTGTGTGTGGGGGGGGGGGGGGAAGACTTTTAAATGGTTGACTTAGTTGGGGCCACAAACTTCACTGTCACCAGGATGGAAAGTACATTTTAAAAAATTCAGTTCAGTTAAAAGGCAAAAATAATGACCCCATTTCACTCAATTCATTTTTTACCTCTTTTTTTGTTCGTTTATTAACTAAAATATTTTTTAAATCAGACAAATTGCACTGATCATTTAACAAGTGATATTTTCATATTTTTAGTGTCCAATTAATGAATCATTCTCACCTCGACTTCAATGATCTTCATATTGTGCCCCATCCCCAATGAAATTTCAATGTTGTCTCGTTCTTTTCATTCTTGCATTCGTCGCCACTGATTTTTTTTTAAATCCCCCCCCCCCCCCCCCCAACAGTAACATTTTCAATACAGGGACCCCTTCTAATAGTGACATTTCCATAGGCTCTATTACCCCAATTACCTATGCTTTCATCATTTCGGCATCGACTTATTCTTTATTCAACCCCCCCCTCATCTTTATTGTAAACCATTTTTTTATACTGCATTTATTCATTAGTCTTGCCCACTCTCTTGTTACATTTCCGCTTTCTCTCTCATTAGGAATCAATGAAAGATGGTTAAATCTATCTCGCTGATGCAAGATAAAAACAAACATCAAAAGGTCGAACACCATACTCAATTCTACACAAGACTGCATCAGCCCCCATCTCACCTCAGTCATACAGCATTATCATTACAGAGTGCCTACATCATCATAATCACCAGCATCATCACATATATTTCACAAAATAAGAAAATGAAAAGAACAGAATTCAGCAGTATTAACTGATTTATTAACATTTATGAACTCATTTATCAACATATTTTGTTTCTATAAAGTCTTTTTAAATCCAACATGACATCAACAAAAGGATGAAAAATGGATGGGGGGGATGCTGTCTCTTGAATTCAAATCTTTCAGTTGTAAAAATTTACTGTAGATTTTGAAGAAAAAAATATTCAATAATATCAACATGCTATTTTATTATGTAAAGCACAGGTATATACTGAGTTTTATGAGTACTTTATCTAACATTGGACATTATTATTGTTCTTTTTACTACTACCTGTATTATCATTATTATTACTGCTATTATCATGATCATTGTCATTATTGTTACTATTTTTAATATTGTTATTATTATTAATATTAATTATATTAATACAGTCTTACTATTGAACTACATCATTTTATCCCCCCCCCCCCTTCAATTTACTATCCAGTTCAGCATATCCCTCATATTGTTGTCAGAACTTGACTTAAGATTAAATATCAAAAAACTATGTTACATGTACACGCATTTAAAAGAACAAATGATTACTTTCATGATCCTCGATATATCTTCTTCTTCTTCTACTGGTAATCTTCAAAAGGCATTGTAGCCTATCACGAAGATGAACTAGTACTAAAGATTACAAGTGGTGTGAGGAAGACAGATTGTTTCTAAGTGGGATAAGGAGAGTAGATGCCTCAGAAGTAGTTCCTGGCAGTTCTCTGGGCTGTCAGCATGCACTATATTTGCTGGAAGTCAGTTCCATTAACTTTGGGACAGAGTGTTGGGCAAATGCAAACTTGTCTACCTATGTCGCTTCTGGCTTGGTGCAACTGGAGGGTCATGTCATGGTACTTCCTGCTCGTGATTTGTTAAAGCCCGTCTGTACTAGTTTGGCCAGGGGGATAAGACCACCCTGCAAGGTCACTGACAGGTGGTTATCTCATCAAATCAGCTCTCAATTAATATAAGAAAAAGAGGATCATGGGGGACCAACAGGCACAGATTAGGCATTGTTTGCTATATAGAGGGCGCAAATAGCTATAAGTAGTGCAGTGGGAAAATGTTCAAGGAAGAGCGGAGAGACCATTGACTATCTTGCGCACCATTCCCAGTCTTCTTGCAGAGTGCCTTGTAGTTGTAGATATAGTAGGCAACTAAAAGGTGCTGATCATCTCAGTCAAACTGCTGCTTCTCTTGTGGTCCCCATTGTAAAGAAGCGTCCTGGACATCTGAGATGTTGTAGGGATCCCAGACACCGGAACAGTTCTCAAGATGAGGGTGGACTAGGGACTTGAACAAAAGAAGCCTGGGTATCAAACCTTCTGGACAACCTGAATAATAAAAACAAAAAGAGAGAAATCAAATAAGATTAAAACTGCTGCATTATATTGGATTTTCAAAAATAGTACCTCCCCACTTTTTTAGGTCTTGCATTTTAATTTTACTAAAAAATGATAAACGTATGTCTATCTAAGTGATAGGGCCTTTTTTTAAAAGAAGAGTAAAGGTTTAGATGTATTTCCAATTATTTTAAAAGTAATTTCCAATTTATTTTAAGTTATTATTTGCTACACTTTTGTGAACAAAAGTTTGTTAGATATAATGTAATATTTAGGAAAAAATGCCTTTGAGTATGTCTTTTAATATGCTGAGAGAATAAACTGTAGCAACACCATAGTTTGTCACCTAAATAAAGCTAGAGAATAAATGAGAATTACCAGATATAATGCAACACAAGATGACAGTTCCCCAAATCTTTGTATATAGTCCAAGTCGAGTGCGGTGTTCGCATGGGCTTAGATTATACAGCCTGAATATTTTCGAACTTCATACAAACATACCTTGCCAGAGTTCAACTTAGGTGTCTTGTTCCTGATTAGATCTACACCATAACATTTGATGATCAGGTCCTGGTGCTCTTTGTTGCACTTCTGTGGTCATTATCTGCTTCTTTGTTCCATAGGATCTACAATAAAAAAAAACAACAGAAACTTAGTAAGGTTCCTGCTAATATCAAATGCAAGCATTAGTTATCAGTTTATAACTTTGTTCATGTCCTTTAGAGAAAGATTTAATATCCATGTCATATGTAGGGTTGGATCCAGAATTCTCACCAACATAAAAGGGGTGGCATAAAATCCTGAAAATAAACCAATTATTTAAAACAAGGCACAATGACATAACTAAGAGCGAAATCAGGGGAAGTGGGAGGGGGGGGGGGGGGAGAGATAACCTTTTTGTTTTGTTTTTGTTGTTGTTGGTAGATCTAGCCTAGATTGATCTACATTCAAACTAAGCTGAATCTGGTCCTGGATCACAATAATGACACATGTGCACGACTAGGGTCTAGTCTAGTAGTGGAGCAAAAACAAGCCTAGACCCATGGCTATGGAAGTCTTTGCTAGGCTATGGCATAACACAAGCTATAGATGTAGATCTAATTGTCTATTTTTAATATTATTAGTAGACCCTAGGGGGCTCTAGACCTAGATCTAGACCCGTCCCTATGCCACATCTGAATAAGGGGGCACAGAATGATTGTGCACCCCCCCCTCCATTACTTCCACATTGACCCACCTAAAACAGGCATTTATTTAGTCTTTTTTTTTTTATTAGAATGCATTAGGCCTAGGCCTAGAATCTAGCCCTAGATCTAGGCCTAGGGTCTATATATTAGATGCGGGGTTAAATGCTGTTTATACTTAAGTGCTAGATCTAGACTAGACCTAGCCTAGCCTAGGCTCTGCTTAGCTTAGCCCTAATTTTTCTGTCTCTTTCGTTCGTTAGCCTCTGATTTGGGTAGGGTCGGCTAAAGAGAGGAGCCGACCCTACCCAAATCAGAGGCTAACGAACGAAAGAGACAGAAAATTCAGGCTAGACTATGCTATGAATAGTCTAGAGCTAGAGGTCTAGGCTTTACAGTAACCAACTGTAAAGTTATAGCCACGCCAGCTCAGGAAACGCAGTCGCTTCTTGGTGGAGTGTTAGTGTTACAGCCGGCTAGCACCGGCGAATTGAAAATCATAAACCGCTCGACGAGATCTCGTCGGCTTGGACTAGCAATGAGCCATTTGCGCAGTCTACAACAGGTCCACATCTACGACCGATTACTATCGGTAATCAAGCTATGAACTGAACTTAAAATTATGAGATGTGCTCTAATGAAATAACCTACGGTAAAATCCTGATTGTTTCTAAAAATATTACCGTCGATGACTTATATTAGAGTTCATTCAATCAGTTAATATTCTTTGGTCAGAAGAAAGAAAAGAGGATGGGGTAGGGGGTTAACCGGGTAATACGTTGTGACAATGCGGAGAGCCCCTCACTGCAATGACGAACACATCACAATCATTTCAGAGACCTTCACACAAAATGGATCTTTACTTACTTTTCTTGATATCATAGGGTATCACTTCGATGTCAATGTTCGCCTGAAGATTTTCTGCTTCACTGAGATGTACTTGACAAACTTCTATTATAATAGAAATTCACTTAAAAGAAAAATGTTTCATTGTTCGTAATTATATAACTTGAAAGTTGCAGTTCATACAACCGCCATTTTCGTGGTCAAATCGTAGGGAATTCTGGGAATGCAAAAAATGTTTTATGCATGACCTAATACATAAAACATTTTGTCGATGGCCAATCAACAAACAGAAGTTGGCGTATTTTTTACGTCATTGCTCATGAATATTCATTGACCCTCCAAAACCGTCGTTCAAATCGGACAAAACCCCCATAATGCATCCAATACAAAACCTATGAAATGTCAAAGGTCACGATTTTAGTTGGCCCTCTAGTCCTCCTACGGAGGACATACTGTGTATGATCCATAGAGATATATACTTAATAAGGCTAGAGTGCGGACTCGTCATACGCGCCCGTTCAAAGCTCTGTGCGCGCATGGAGCGCGGTCCGCCATTACTAAGGAGGGCACAACTTCGAGAAATACCCGGATGTTCCCTTCGAAACTGTGCTACTGATAAGCAATGTGAAGCTTCATTTTTCGAGTTGATTTATCGGTTTTCGAGTATGAAACGTTATAATTGTGGTATTTTGCATAATGCATGAACCCTACTCATGCCTCAGTCATGGTATCTGGTGTAGGTCAAGATTAATTACGGGTGTTATGGTGAGGTAAAGGGACACAAAAAGCTATTTATATTTCAGTATATCTTCATTTTTTTCTTCCTCTTTGTCAATATAAAACTGCGATATTATGACATCAAATATTACTTGGCTTTCAACCAATCAGAATCAAGCATTTGGGACTTGTATTTGATATTTATGTCATGATATTAACCAAAGTTTTATGCTACAGGGCCAATGCCGGGGGTCAATGTCTTTCTAATTCAGTTATTATGAGAGCCAGGGTTTATTGATTTAAAACGCTTTAAAGGTTATATATTCATTTTATGTTTATGGCTATTATAAACAGATTGATACTTATAGATTTGGGATAGAGATGGGTATGTAGATAGCTAGACGAATAAATAGATGGATAGATAGATATAATATAGAAGGATAGGTAGATAATGGAAATGCAGATATAGGACGATACTGAAGATAGGAAGAGGGAAAGGAAAGAATTATACACATTTATTTAAAAAAAATTATGTTATTTACTCATCCAATCATTCATCCATCCATCCAAACATTCTTTTTCTTCTTCTCTCACTCATTTTATATCAAATTCACACCTTATGTCTTTCACCTAATCTCTATAAAATTTCTATATGTCTGAAAGAATAATTCAATTTTTTACAGTTCACTATAAATATATATGAATATTCTTTAAAAAGAGCTGATCATTGGTGTAATAATTATTTATTCACATCACCTTTTTTCTCAATAAATAATATTCTCCTTGATACAGTGTATTTCTTATTTTCTTCATCAACCAGTTTTAGAGAATAAACTTATAATTCAATTTGAAGGAAAAAAATGAATAAATGAACCTTTTATTACCACACGGCACACGTGTGTTGATATTCTACAGCATAGGCATTTAAGTTTTGACATTTTATTATACTGCAATAATACAACACAATTGAAAGGACAGACATTGCAAAAACAACACCTCAGATTTTAGCCCCAAATTTACTGTCACGGATCATAGGCAACACAACCACGACAAATTGATTCGCCACCAAAGACAAGCATTACACATCCCAAAACCGCCACAATAACTCCCAAAACATAAATGTCAGGAGGCCAATGTCTATGTGTCAAGATGTCAGCGATAACGAACACTTTATTAACTAGTCTTGGCTCCAAGCGCACGCAGGCGCGTTACATTTACTAATAATACAAAGACATTTCATCAAGTAATAAATGCAAACCAGAAAAAGTAATTGAGCATATATATTCCAAGTCACCTGTATTGCTATGAAGAACTATAATTGAAGAGACTTACATCTCAGGATACTGCACTACACTATTCAGTGAAACCTCATAGTAACATGGTCTTTTGACATCATTATTCATCAGGTATAATAATAAATTTGAAACTGATTACCCTCAAATGTACACAGTAGATACAACAAGCCAAAGAGTGCACAATCTTATGGGTTTACATCTAGTGAATTATTCCATATAATTGTTCTGTTATCAAATCTCTTCAAAAGCAGTTTTCCATTTTGGAACAAAATTCAAACCTATGTACAAAACGATCTATGGGTGTGTATATGGTGTGCAACTGTGCATTACACAAGCTTTTCAATTGCAACACATCTGTGAATTCTTCTCGTTTATTGAAAATGGGCTCACTTTATGTGAATTTCTTGCTTTTCATCTTAAATGATGTAAATCACTTGGTTGAGAGCAATCCAGACAATGTTATGAAAAAAGGTCTACATGTTTATCTCAGGTTATCCATACTGTACCTGCGGAATCAAAGCACATGTAGAGTGCAAATAATTTGCAAAAATTATAGCAACTGAATCAGATACAGCAGGTACAATTATGAAGCTTATAGAGTAAATATTCAAATACAGTGTACCTCACAACAACTCAAAATTCAAGTACATTTTGTTTAACCCCTAATTTAATCAACTCTTCTAAGTTCCACTTTAGTTTGCCTTCGTGTAAAGTTAACAAACAGAAAATTATGGTTAGGTTGTGCAACTGTCACAATGTGTCCCAAGAATTTTATTTCATTACACAGAACAAAAGTCTCAGATTGTTCTGTTTTTTTAAAAGATTATTGAAAGCTCTCTCCAGTTTTAAACGGCTTCAGTCAATCATCCAGTGGATAAGCTATGCAGACAAGAGGCAAAATATAAAAGACTGATCTGTCTTTGTAGTTTGTACGAATGAAGTTCTATGTTTTGGTTTTTTTTCCTGAAAATGCGTTCTCTCCAAAGTTGTGTTGAAGTAGGTCAAGCTGATCCTGGCTAATGAGCTTGCTTTCGTGGACTTCCTGCAAGAGAGTCCTGGTTTTTCCATCTCTCCTGTTTACCTTGTTTCACCACTTGAAGCTGTTTCTTGGCATCCTGCACTTGCTGTCTGGTTATATTCAGTTTCTAATCAACTCAGACAGAAAAAGAATAGTCATGTTCTTTTGTAATGTCATAGGGTTTCTTTGGAGGCACAGGAACACTTTCGGATGTTGTACATGGTTTTGCTGGGAGTCTTGAGCCATGGGTCTGTTTATAGGGAGGATGTCCAGGAAAGACAGTAGGCACAGCTCTAGGAATGAGATGTGGTGTGTAACATCCTTTCCTCTCTTGAGTGTATTCCTGCATTACAATAAAAGCAAATGGAAACAATAATGAGTTTTTTCTCATAACATGACAATTGTTCTACTATTCATGCTATTTCATGTGATTTTTAAGACTGAAACTGAAAGCAGCTTCCAGCCAAATAAATAAAATAATAATAATGTCAGCAAGTCATAAGCAAATTTGATAGAAAAAGTGTAGTGTGCGGTGGGATTTTTAGGCTTGCCTAGCCTAGTTGGATAACTCCTGTGATGTGAAATATGGCAGGCTAGCCTGGCTTAGACCAAAAGCTTCAGTCTCTCTATATCGTCGGTTGTTCTACTGAGACTGCGTCTGGCTCCACTAGACCTCTGATTATATTATGGGGAATGTCAACAAATGTCAGTTTTATTAAAGAAATGACCCATATCAGACGGTTATTAGAGACTAGAGTTTAGATCTAGAGTCTAGATCTATCATCTAGCTCTAGTCCAGTCTAGATCTAGTTAAAATATAAAGAAGCTGACATTTGATTTTTAATTTATCTTGAAATTAGATAAGATCAAATTAATTATATCATTTTATTCTAGACTTTTCTTTAATAGAATCAAGCTCATGGAGTTATATTTCCGAGTTGGACTCTCTGACTCTTGGAGTTGCGAGCGACTCCAGCGCAGCAGAATTTTCCCATCACCATCCCCAGAACCTTAACCCATGCCTGCCCCAGCCCGGCGGGCGTGGACTGGCGCGCTCCGCTGCTGCAGGAGCTGCCGTGGCTTGTCATGAGACAACCCGGGTACAGACTACAGTCACTGCATAAACTACATTTTTAGCTCTAAAATCTCCTTATTAATCAACATAACATTAAGAAGAACTTACTTGTGAAATATTATGCAGTTCCCTTTCTTTCTTCGGTTCGAACATCCAAATGCAACGCACGAACCCACTCCAGCAAAGCATAGAGAGTCCATGCTAATGCGTATGGACCTCTAGCACTGCATGTATGTGGTATGCACGGGGTGGATTTTTTCCACTTTTAATATCATAAAATGTAAGACAAATACAACATAACATAGGTTATGTTATATTTGTCTTACATTTTACAACAGTTAAGTATGTTAATTAAATGTTAGTATAGAAATAAAAAAATTTAAACTCACTTTTAAAGCACTTTTTTCTCCTTCTGATACAGACACAGCTCAATGATGCCCTCCTCTTGCTTGCAATAACATCAAAATTGCGCACTTTGCGGACACCACACTGAAACGCGATCTAAAGCTCTTACGCAATATCTGACGGGTAGCTGTCTTATCTCGCAGACGTTTTCATTTATTGCTTTATCGCAGGTTCAAAGCACCTAGGCCTCTTATTCCGTACCAGAACAAATTTAAACAGCGCCATCTTTTGGTAGAAAATTTCACATGTTAATGACAACGAAGAGTGGGCGAGTGTTTTAGTGGGAGAGCACATCAATTAATAATTTACCAAATAACCAACCTCTTACTGAACACACCCACACACATAAAAAATCGTTTACATACAAGTTTCGGAAAAGATGAAAAAAGATAAAGCATTAGACCCTTGGTTTCTCCAGTAGATTTATATATTCATAATATGTTTTATACATTACAAATATTTATTTTTTTTCTTCATATTTTTGTAGCGAATAGTGAACGTGCTGTTATAGTTGACAATATGTAAAATAGTCTAGAGTCGTGCATAAGTTTTTGATGT